TTGTCCTGGCTCTCACTTCTTTAGGATATATACCTAGTAATGGAATTGCTGGGTCAAATGGTATTTCTAATTCCAACTTTTTAAGGAATCCCCATACTACTTTCCACTGTGGTTACATCATTTTACAGTCCCACCAGCAGTGTATGAGAGTCCCAATGTCTCCACATCCTTGCCAGCATTTGTTACTTTCTGTTTTGTTGAACTTTCCCATTAGTGCTGGGATGAGATAGTATCTCATTGTTTTGATTTGCTTCTCTCTGATGGCTGATGGTCATGAGCATTTCTTCATGTATTTGCTGGCTGCCTGAATATCCTCTTTGGTGAAGTGTTTATTCATGAGGAAAGATATTCTTAAGACAGAAAAAGTGTAAGTAGAAATTTAAGGGATGTTTTAGCATAGAAATAGACCATTCTGGTGGAATTCCCAAGACTGTGGCCTTTAGACACCCTTCAAACCTGGAACTGAACCCACTCCCAGAGATTACCTTTCAGCCAAATAATAAACAGCTTACAAAGTGAACAATAACATCTGTGAGGAATGTGCTTCTCAGAACAATCAACCATCTAAGACCAAAAGGACAGTGATTGCCCAAAACAAAGATCAAAAGGCAGGAAAGATGGGACAATGGAAACAGGGAAGAAGTGGGAAGAGTGCTGTTACACTGAGGGATTGTAACTAACGTCATGAAACAAAATGTGTAAAATTGTTGAATGATAAACTACTTTGCTCTGTAAACTTTCATCAAAACCACAATGAAATGTTCAATAAAAAAGAAAGACTAGTTTGCCTAACACAGATGATTTATATAGTACAATTTTAGGGAACATGTTAGGGTGTTTGGGCCAGATTTACAAAATATCTTGAATGCTTAGCCAATGTATATATTCTGTAAGCAGAGAGAGCCACAGATAGGTTTGGGGTAGGGTTGTAGGGCCAGTATTGAGTTAAAAAATCTATAAAAGTCATCTCTCCTGAGATAAACCAGTGGACCCCACTGATGACCTGATTTGGATGTTGGCTATTTCTTTTGTTTAAGAGCAGCCAAGTTATAGGTGTCATCTATAAAGTTTGCTAAAGCATCTTCCCACAGTATCAGCCTTGAGACAATAAGAATGTCCTAGCCTTCCTAGTCACCTCACCTATCTTGGCTGTGAGGCAGAAATTAACGCCCTTTTACTTAACTCTCAGAACTTGTGCCTCTTGCTAACATGTTTCCTCTCCTTTGATTCCCACTCCAGCTCAGCCTCTATTTGTAATTTCTTTCAGGCAGTGAAGTTTCTGAGCAGCTGTCGCCTGGAAGTGGGGATGAAGAACAATGTCAAATGGGAGCTAAACCCTGAAATAGTGGCCCGCCACTTCTTCAAGAATGTGAGTATTACCCCAAATACCACTATACCTTGCAGGATTGCCTTAGAATCATTTCATTAGAAAAGGATGTGATCATATAGCTGTTGGTTTGTAGGGATGTGGGAGGGGAATGGCTAAGGACTAAGTGTTGTCACATTGAATGTGAAGACTGATGGGAGGATGGTTTCATTCATTTCCTATCTAGCTAGAGAAAAATTGGAGAATTTTTATTTCTGTGGACAAAGTTATTTAGGTCTCAGACCCTCTTTTTCTGAGAGTCTATCTCTCCCTTTCTGCGAAACTAAGATTGAGTTTCTCTGCTGCTATCTTTTGAGGTTTCTATCAACCCATGGGGTCAGCCAGAGCAAATAACTCCAGTTTAATTCATCTTGTATAGGAAATTCTAGAACCCGCTTTTTGAGGTCGCTTAGAGTGGCAGCCATGACCACAGAGCTCATTTCTGCTGTGATATTTTGCAGCTTGGTGTTGTGGTAGCCCCCCATGCAGTAAAGTTACCAGAAGAGCCCATCACACGGTGGGGCGAATACTGGTGTGAGGTGACGGTGAGTGTTGGACATACTGCCATTTTTTCCTGACTGGGTGAAAAAACAGAGTGGAAAACTGAGATTGGATGGTATTGCTTTTCATCTGCCTGATTGGACTCTGAGGATTCCTATTATTTTGTCTACAGGTAAATGGTCTTGATACTGTGAGGGTGCCTATGTCTGTGGTGAACTTTGAGAAGCCCAAGACCAAAAGATATAAGCACTGGTTAGCCCAGCAGGCAGCCAAGGACACGGCCTCCAAAAGCTCCCGGACACTCTGACTTGCCCTCCCTCCAAGGCAACCAGACGGCTTCAAGACCCTGATGTTCTACAAAGCAGAATCAGAGGAGCAGTGGAACAAAGATAGGCCGGGACCTTGATCTCACGCCCAGATCTGACTAAATATGGAATTTTAGAGTCCCTATGGGGACGCAAGACTAAATAGCACGTACATGTTGAGTTCTCTGTATTTACCATCTCCATCTTGGCCTGTCTTCACATTCATCTTTATTGGGACAGTCCTGGTCAAGAAGTACAAAGCTATACGTTTGATAAGCTGGACATCAGAGGACTAAAGCCATCTAGCCTCTTCATTAGAGCACACTGGAACAAACAGAAAGAGCTACCCATTGTCTCTAGTATTTGCCTTATTATCATCACCCAAACTAAACATTTTGTTTCTCAAATGTAAATAAAGAGGTTATGTTCTTTGTGGGTTCTGGTTACTGGACTTGAGTATGGGAATAGACTGGGGACAGGACATCCAAACGAGCGATGTACTCCTGAGCCGCTGAGCTTTGCTGCTAAAAAGAAAGGAGAAAGTGTACCTGTTAGCAAGCTACACCCCACAGCTGCTGTAGACCAATACTCCTAATAAGCTGATAGGTCCGTGGTCTCAGAATTTACTCTCACTAGGTATACTGATAATGCTATTAATACAGACAAAACACAGTGGACTATTTAAAGAGATCTGAATGTGGCCTAAGGTAAGTGAAGCTGGGAGTGAAAGAAACCTCAAAAGGGAATTTCTATTTTGTTTCTTTACCTAGCTCTTGAAATTTTGAAGAAGATGTTACCTTGATGGTTCCCAGACCAAGTTTAAGATATGGGACTAGTTGTTAGGTTGGACTAGGTGTTTTGATCAGAGGTGAGGAAAATTGGGGTCCATTAATGAAAAAAAAAAAAAAAGACCATCCATTGACAGGTGGATTGTGCCAATGGTAAAGTCATGCAGTTTAGAGAGGATGAAAGTGGGCCGTGTATTCCTTTGCTGTCCTTACAAGAAGTTCAGAGAGATTGGTTTCTGTCATCCCATTTGAACTCACCTACCACTGAGAACCATAAAGTCACTTTTACTTTCTTCCAAGTGAGGCCCTCCCAACAGATGAGAGGTCTGTCATCATTAGCAGTCAGCACTGATAACTATACCCACATTTACACTTGCCAGAACTCTTAACTCAAGCCTGTTACTGGTACTATATGAAATCTGCCAATGCAATGATTATTACCACTGCTGTCATTTAAATAGTTTATTTAATACAGTGTCTCCCTACCTACCATGAGCACCACCAGGAAGCTCCCTGAAATTGTTTTATCAATAAGCACAGCATCCCATATAGATAATCTCAGTATGTTAAGTACTTGTTACAGGTTGAGTTCCTGGTGAGAGGGGACTTGTGTCCAGGAAGATGAGGAGTAAAGGGAGCAGGATGAGGTAAAGGGAGCTGAACTGATGCAGTCTCAGTAAGCTCTCTGCAGATCCCACAGAGCCCAAGCTGGGATGTGCCCTACTAAGAAAAGGAGGCCAGATGTGTATACCCCCATATTGACCAGGAAAGGTGAAGGCCTTGGATAACATGGCTGTCCTCAGCCAAAGGCAGTTCCCAGAGCGGGGCTCAGATGAGAACTGTTAGCCACTAGGCATTAGTAACTTGGGGAATGAGTACTTCAATATCCATTATGGTCCATCCCTTGCATTGCTGAGATACATTTTCTTCATAATTTGGGGATAGTTCTCCTGGATTCTGATGGGCCTCTTTTCCTGGGAGGATTCTGTGAGAGACCACAGCCCCGCCACTGTAGCTTATGAGGACTGCAGCTGGTACTCATCATCTCCACTTCCCATTCTGGATTCCTCCATCCCTCACTGTACACTTCTCGACCAGGTGGTTTACTAGAGAAGTGACTCAGACCATCATCCCTGACAGGTCTGAGCCCTCTGGTCATCATGCCCTTCTAAAATTGGACAAGGGAATACCAAGAGATACCCAAGTAGATGTGCTGGATGCCAGACATTCTTCCCAGCCCGCATTTTGTAACAGCAGCCTACCCTCCTGATATTAGGGTCAATTATTCATGCCAGTATAGTTATTCTTTTACCTGCCTCCTGGTCTCTTGGTGTTAAAAGCCTGAAGTGACCTGGTGGCAGCCAGGGCTGTTTATGAATTTAATGAGACCCTTTGTCCACTGGAAGAAATGCTTCTCTGGAAACTAGGAGTTCTAAACCCTCAGAGCCCAGAGGCACAACTTCCCCAGTTGAGTCACTGGGAGTGATGCCAGTGGAGGGAGTGGTTATCACTCCTACTTCCACCTCTTGTTTTCCAGACCCATTTATTTGACTTAGGGACACAGCACAATATGATGGCCATTGGCATATATAAGATTGCTCTGAGTCAGAATCAATGGCAACAGGTTCAGAGGATTCTGGAGGATAGTGCCTTGTCCCATGCCTCAGCTGTACCTTCTTCAATAGACTTCCATCGATGTATCAAGTGGGCAGCCTCTGGATAGCGTGGTATATGATCAGCTAGTGGATCCTTGATTATGTACATTGCTGCACCTCCTTTGCTTAAAGTTAGTCTCTTGGTCCAATGCAATATTATGAAAGATTCTATGCCAATGAGGAAATATCCTAAACCCTAAGATAGTGGTGCTTACTGAGGCCCTGCAGGCAGAAAAGGCAAACCCATACCCACAATGTATGTCCATTCCAGTCAATATGAAACAATGCCCCTTCCGGGAAAGCAGAGATCCAATGCAATCAACTTACCACCAAGTAGCTAGATGGTTCCTTAGGGGATGGTGACATCAGGAGCTTAGCACTGGTCTCTGTTGTTGGCACATTGGCTATTCACAGCAGAAGCTAGATCAGTCTTTTTGAGCTCATATTATTGGACCTATGCCTAGCTTTTACTCCTGTTGCCCAGTCCTGCCCATTTTCACAGTCAACTGGTATGCTAGAGTTCATTGTTGCAGCCATTGTCAATCCATCTCATTGAAGTTTCCTTTGTTTTCATTTGCCCTCTACCAAGGATGATGTTCTTTTCTAGTGATTGGTTTCCCTGATAATGTGTCTAAAGTATACTAGTCAAAGTCTTGCCCTCCTTGCTTTTAAGGAACATTCTTGGTTGCAGTTCTTCTAAGACTGATTTGTTCTTTCTTTTGGCAATTTACAATACACTCTGAATTCTTTGCCAATACCACAGTTTGAATGAATCAATTCTTTAGTCTTTTTTCAGTATCCAGTTTTTATATGCATATATGAGGCAACTGAAAGAAAAGGCCATGACTTGGGTCAGATGCTCCTTAGTCATCAAAGTGACATCTTTGCTTTTTAAAACTTTAAAGAGGTCTTTTGCAGCAGATTTACCCAATGTAGTATGTCATTTAATTTCTTGATTACTGCTTCCATGGATGTTTATTGTTGATTTAAGTAGAAAAAAGTCATTGACAACTTCAGGTTCTCCATTTATCAAGATGTTGTCATATGAGCCAGCACTAGATCCACCTAAGAGAAACGAAAGCATATGCTGCAAAAAGGGTGTTGTGTTAGCTGACCTGAGAAAATCACCATCAACATCAAGAGCCCAAGGCTGATTCCTCTGAGGCAGTGATCAGACATGTTGCCACCTTTCAACCTTTTCACCAATTCTGATACCAACCATCCCTCCCACAACACTCTCTGGTTCTCTGCTGGGTTTGATAATTCATTGCAGTGGCCACACAGAACTCACAGACACTACTCACGATTATGGGGTTTATTAGGGAAGTGTTGTTGTTATTTGCCATCGAGTCACCCCCGACTCTTAGCGACCCCTCCTTGGGTTTCCGAGGCAGTATCACTAAGGAAGTAGGATTGCCCAACCTTCCTTCCGAGGAGTGGCTGGTGGGTTTGAACCGCCAGCCTTCTGGTTAGCAGTCAAGTGCCTTAGGCACTATGCTACCAGAGTAGCAGGTTACAATTCAGGACTCAGGATACAGTTCTTCAATCAAGGCAGTTTTTCAGCGGTGTCAGAGGCACACTTCTCTCTGGCCTCAGTGTCTGCCTTGCTCAGACAAGTGTTAGAAAGCTCTTTTAGCTCTGCTAAAAAAAAGAAGTACCCCACTCCACCAGCAAGCTTCTGTCTGAAGGCACTCAGCTTTTCTGCTGGCTCCATGGGCAGGAAGCCTGCTACTCTATCTCATGCCAGTCTCTTGGTTCTGCTATTTCTGCTCCACCATGTTTCTGCTGTATATCTGCCATCTCAGCACAGGGATCTCAAGTCCAAGGATGCACTCCACTCCTGGCTCTTCTTTCTTAATGACAGTGAGAATTCCCCCTTCCCATCTCTGGGATGACTCATTTTAAGCCTAGCAGACTGGAACTAAACCGATGCCCACATTAGGGTTCCTTACACCTTATTTCCATGGTCCTTCCCCAAAAGGGTGCTGTGTGTCTTGTTTACATTATTAACAAGCTATTCAACCCCCTTGATAGGCCACAGATACCTCACATGTGCATAGTTCCACCCAGTCAATTGGTAGAAGTAAAAAAGACTATAGGTAGAAGACCTATACCAAATAATTCACTGTACTGCATATGCCCACGGAAAATCTTATACATGAATGTTTGTAACGGCATTACTCGTTATAACCAAAAGGTGAAAAAAAAAACCCAAGTGTCCATCAACTGATGAATGTATTTTAAAATGTGGTATATATCCATACAATAGAATATTATTCAGTCATAAAAAAGAATGGAGTCCTCAGGACAATGGTCGCAGGTGATGTAAAGCTCAATTGGTATAACATACTACACAAAAACATTGTTCTACATCCCACTTTTGTGAGTAGCAACTAGGGTTTTAAAAGCTTGCAAGCAGCCATTGAGATGCAACTCCGTGTCCAGAGCAAAGAATGAAGAAAACCAAGGACGCATGGAAACAATCAGTCCAAGGGACTAGAGGACCACGCCAACCTCAGCCTACATGACTAAGAGACCAGAAGAACTAGATGGTGCCCGACTACCACTGTCAACCACTT